TTTAGTATGTGAATACGAAACATTCGACATGCCCAAGATTTACAGTTTTTTTTTGTTTTTGTTTCACTTCTTTTATGGTTAACAAAACTTTTATTTTCTTTACGTGATGGCAAATCTCATATTCGTTTTTACTACATCATATGATGTCCTTTATCTTTCGTATTAAAATTTTGCAATATCGATATACCGACGACAGCGTAGATTAAATTTATGAATTTATACCTGCATATAAATTACTGATCCTAAAATTTATAATATGGCTGCACTTTCATACTCCTAATTTATTAATGGACGATTCAATCGCGAAACGTCTATACAAGCCGAGTGTTCCGTCATTAGGACATGTACGATTGTAAAGGATTTAGATTATCTAATTGTTTCACAAATAGCAAGGAAGGTAATCCATTCTAATCTATGAAACGAAAAGAATCACACCTGTATTTACCTTTGTTGAGTGAAACGTTGTTCACTAGTTGCATGCAACATGGAGTAGGAACTCATCTACAAACAATATCCACTACTTGGAAACCATAATTTCATTTTCCCTTTGAAATAGAAATAGAAATAAGCAGCAACGTGAAATGTGTGGTTCCCATATTCCTTGTGTAATACCTAATAGTATAGATATCGTGTGAAATTCAACTTTATCTAATAATTACTTGGCGCGATGCGCACACAAAGGGCGTAGAAAATTTAGCTACCGATATTATCGTCACGTAACCGGAATAAAGGAATTAAATGACAAAAAGACCGCCGTATTAAAACGTAATCGGTGAGCGCGAATAAAAATTAAAAAAGCATCGTAAAAGCAGTTACGGGAACGTGAGTTTTGGTTTAGTAAGTCGATTGCACCCTATGGTAGTAGTCTGAATCGTTTAACAAATGAGACTCCATCTAGCAGGTAATGTGAGTGGGTTGAAACGATTTGCCCCAAGTTCAATTAAGATAACATCGCGTGCCTGCATCGTAAAGGTGGTAAAAAGATGCTTAGGACCTTGTCTATTTTCACTTTTCTCCCACGATCGTTAAATTACTTAGTTGTGTTCTTTTTTTGTTCGTTCTATATACGTATACCTTTTAAGATAACGACCTGTCATTGAAATATTTATGTCTACGCACCCTAATAACCCCATCTAATGTAATTAATTAAAAAGTTTGTTTCTTCGCGAGCTTTAGCTTCTCAATATTTCCATTAAACTATTTTATATTACTCTAAATATTTTGAATTCAAAACGCACATAACTCTATAGATCTTAGTTGAACTAAACTTGGCCATAATTTAAGAATATTAAAACCGAGTAGCAATGCAATAGTGTTGGAGTTTCATTTTTTTTTTACTTTTCCAACGATATTACAGAATCCAAAATGGAATGGAATGGAATGGAATGGGGTCATTCCGCCTTCATTTTTTATTTCTGATCCACAAAGTACATTAAAAATAAAAATACCCGTGTGTCCTCAATTTTTATTTGCGAGTAAAATAAACCCAAAAAAATTATTGAAAAGCTGTGTTTTTAGTCCGAATTTGAAACGCTTCAGACTAAATACGTCACAAACCTACCAACCAATCCCGTAGAAGTGAGCTGGCAACCTTACGCGAGGGTCTGACGTTTGTCACATTTGACGTTTTGAGAGGGATGTTTAACTGCATCTAGCACGAAAGTGACAAGTGCCTGTGACAGATGACGCAAGTTATAAATGCTATTCTCCTGCAATATTGCCAAGTCGTTATGTCATCTGAATGGTTCTAGGAGCTGATTGGTCGGGCTTATTACGTCACAGAGCCCGCCACGATCATATCGTTTTGAATAAACCTTTAAAACCGCACATGTTCATTATTTTTTTGCTAATCAGCCTCTATTTTTAAATAAACTTTTACTGTCCAAAAAAATGTTTTATGGTTTCAGGTACACGCTTACTAAATTAGAACTGCGGAATTCAACTATACTGTAAACCCCCATTTGGGAGGATTGGAGGATTTCAAAATTCCGGACCAACAGAACGAGGGATTTCCATGAACTCACAATACACTGTGGATGGTTGCAAAATTTGGGAAGTTGAGAATATTGCGGGAACATGTCGGTCTGTCTGTTGGTCTGTCGGTTCGTCTGTACTCTCATTTCCGGCTAAACGGCTGAACCGATTGGAACCAAATTTGGTACACATATCCTTAGACATAAAATGCCAGAATGGCACATGTGCAGGTGTGCGGGTGGTATCTGTGCTAGCCACAGGCAATTTTTTGAGAATGGAAACGGAATTGAAAATGTTGTGTTTAATTAAGTTTACTATTTTTATTGTAGATGTTATAAACTATAATGAAAGTGCCGTTTGTTTTCGTAATTGACATTGGCTTCATCCCGAAATTCGTGAATGGAAGCGCCCCCACAAAAATCCGATACCCTGCCCTGTTATTGTAAAATAACTTGGGAAATCAATCAAGAATTTTTCACTTAAACACCTATGGATATAATGTGGAAATTTGATAACACCCCCAATATTACCTATTTATAACAATTTCGCATGGCATATAGACGTTTAAATGCGGTTTCCTCATTTTATTTTCATACACTCCCCCATTTAGGAGGTGATAATAGTGAAAAAAGGAAATAAAAGTGAACGTGCCTAGTACGCAATGTTCGCTAAAGCGTTTACGGATAAAAGCTTAAACGCAAAACATTGTCATAACAAGGTTTGTAATTTCAAATACCAATTTGAAAGATATCCTTTGTGAGTAGGAAACATTTTGCTGTAAAACGAAAGCTCGAAGTGCTCCAATGCGACAGGAACATGAGAAAACGGAAAAGCTCACACTGTGGTTTATATTTAGACACTATTACCCGTTCATGTAACGTGAATTTGCTATAAATTTGAATAAATCCTTTATCTTTGCCATTGTAGGAAATAGTTTTGTTTACCTGGCAATAAGGCCGACATTCTAATTTTAAAATCGTGCGTAAAAGACTTAACGAAGTAGCCATCAATCAATAGGTACCCTTGAAAAGGACCGTTTTTCCCGATATTGAATTTGAAGTGAGGAAATTGCTATGCTTTTTATTCCGACGCTGGTGATTGAAAATACTTGCGCCAAACATTCTTTTCAAATATTTGTAAACCTGCTGTTGCTGTTTTCTGTTTTCAGTATTCCCGATATCTATACGCGATATTTATTTATTTTGGGTGATTGGGTAACAATAACAGTATTTGTTGTGGATATGCTGCTACGAAGGTTAAAATTTGTTATTGTTTCTAATGTAAAATTTTGTGCATTTCAATTGGAATTTGTGTACAATTTATAAACGACCAGAAGAGAACATTCAGCATTATTAGACGACAGAGCAAAGCGATGCAAGCTTTATGTCCGTCTGTCCGTGATACGATAACTGTCAAACGCTTGGACCGATTTGGTTCAAACTGTGCACAGTTGACCTATATGCTACATGTAACAAGCCTATTGAAAATGGGTCAAATCCAATGACGCCGGAGGGTCACACCGACGTGCTCTGTCGCTTTTTAGCGGTTTATTTAGTTCTGTAAGTGTAGTTAATTTGCAATTTCAGCAATGCGCTTGGCTTGTCTATCCAATAACGTTTGATTGATTGATTTTAAACTTATTAAATGAATCTCAGGCGCATTCAAATCGTGGGGCTGCCGATGTTCACCATTGGGCCAGGAATTAAGTTTATAACTTCTCTTTCGCTAAGATTTATACAGCAATTTAATCCAAATTTTTATGGTAGTTGCCCCTAATATAATGAAACAAAATGCATGCACAAAAATCGCAACTTTATTTATGGAGCAAACACGCCTTTTATTATAAAATTCCGACATAGAAAACAACCCTTACGTATACATTCTCATAACAATAAAACAAACAAAAATTGCTCGACAATAAAACAATGTAAAACGGCGACTGCTAATAAAAATGCGGTGAGTTCTGTAGGGGTCTGTATTGGTTAAGAGGACACACATTCCGTAAAAGTTGCAGTCAGAAAAAGGGTTCGCGTCATATTTGAAATTCAGCGAGGTATGTAAGTAAAAATCTGGTGGGAGAGCGGGATGCTTACTAGAATCTTCGAAGAGAACCTATGCCGGTAGAGGGCTACACTTTTCAATCGCGTATTGATTTCATAGCCGTTTACGTATTGTGAGCGGGGATTTTTATAGATCGCGTAAACTAAATTCTTCCCCATGCTGCCAAGGCGAATACTGTGAATTGTGTACGCCACTTTTGAGATCGCGCAAAATTGCATTATGAATTAAAAGTTCGAACCGAAAGTCGTATAACGGCAGTGCCTACATTTTTCGACGAATTTAGTATCGTGCGTACGTTATGTATTCAACGGAAACTGCCCGTTTTCTGAATTGTTGTGATCCTTCCTGTAGCGTGCGTGTGTTTAGTGGAAAGGCAGATATAAGACTATTTATTAATCATGGAAAATACAAAACGATCAAATTCAACCTTCATTCTTATATCAACCCTTCCAAAGGAGAAAATCAGATATCAATGGGAGAATATTTCAACTCATCGATAAATATCAGTTGATTGATTTTTTTTAAATTGTATCAAAATAGGAGTCGATCTTTTTGTGTATTTTTTATGAATAATAAGAGAATCCAAATCAAAGATACTAGTAAAACTTTCCTCATTAATTGTTATAATGTTCGATTGTTACATTCTATTTAAGTCCTAAGGCCATCTAGGTATCTTCTTTGTAAACCACTTGTAGTATAGTTTTTTCATCTAGTTCTTTCTTTTGCCGTTTACCGACTTCTTCGTCATGTTGCTAGAGTGCACGCTTTTTCTGCCTTTGAGTTGATTACCTTGCAAGTTCTCTTGGTAATCATTACTTCTATGACTTTGTATTTTACCTCAAAAGGTTTTAGTGCTTTGGCTTTACCATAATTATTATCGTTGGAGTGGGTTTCTCTTTCTCTCGTTAATGTATTAGTGACTCCATCGAAACGTTTTTACCAGGGTTTTTACGGATTAGTACCAAGTAACACAAGCTGCTGTATTTTGATAATGAGAAGGTCATGACAGCTGGGTAGCGTGACCAAATTGTCTATGACAGAGACTGTCTAAACTATATATCAGCGATATGAAATCGTTTTCTATGCCCGAATGGAGAGACGAATTACAGCTTCTAAAACGCCATAAAAGCTATTTGGCTTTGTCGTTTATGACGAATATTTGAAGCTGTGATAACCTTGTTGTGACGAAATCGCAGAAGCTGTCGTATCGCCTTTTCATACTCTGCCAAAACGCCACAGAAGCTAATTGGCTGCTGCGGGATAAAATAAAAAAATGAAAATAAAATAAAAAATGTAATGAAAAATCAACAATTTTAATTTAATGGTCGCGTTATTACTGTTACTTTTAGGAAGTACACTTGAGGAGTTTACTAAACTTTCTTGCGTTCCCGTTCCGTATATTGTGCTTCATACCATACTTACGTATTTTATTTTACATTACCTTCGACGGGATTCGAACCACAACCGCTCAACCGGACGTTTACCATTACTTACTGTAGAAACCCTATAGATCCACCGAACGAAACCACTCGACCAATCTGTAACATGCTAAACGAGTTGGTTTTTTTGTATTAAGTGCGTTCATCACATGGCTTATATAAATTGTAGGTGTGTAAATTGTCAATTCCATATCTAAATAATCTGTGTGCGCCGTGCGGATTTTTTTGCGAACTTTAACCATTGTTTGTTTCTTTAACTCGTAGGGTATTTGTGTATCGTGCTCTTAGGTATATTTTATTTCAAAGGTAACTATTGTATTTATTTATTCAATTTACTACAATACATATTTTGAGGTTACATCACTTTATAATGTTCAAAATTGTACAAACCATTGAAGACAATTTAAAAGTGTTAACTGCGGTGCCTCAAAGTTGGGAAAAAAATGGGATCTTGTTTTGGCCACCTGGACCTGGTAAGAAAGCGTATACGCTTCGCAAGGATGCGAGTAACTTACCGAATCTCAATACATGGACCAAGACAAAATGTCAAATCAAACGGGATAACATTCTGACGTTAAAAGAAGCATTACATCAGGAGAAAATACTAGCAGAATTTGAGGACACTGAGGATGAGGAAAAGTATGTACAAATTATACACATTCTTGAAAATACGAATTAATGTTGCAAACTCATCATTAATAATGTACAGCAATTATTTTATACTTATAATAGATGTGTTTCAGTTACAGATTATGCAAGACAATTAATAGATTACATCCAGTAATGAAAACCATCGCAGTAGATGATTTTAATCATTTAATGACTGAAGCCGACCCTGACCCGGAACCTGAACTGATGAATAACAACACCCACAATACTCCAAACATGGAATTGACAGTAATTAACTCTGTTCAAGATATTAATAATGTGCAATCTCTACCTGGTGATAAAGCCGAGGATAAAGCATTGGAACTTGAGGTCGAAAATCCTGTATTACATTCTTTAGGTACAAATTAAAGAAACAAAATTTTTATTAGGTTTTTTACTCGGTTTTTTATTAGCAATAGAAGAAAAACTGAAGTATTTAGAAAAAAAACAAGAAGAACTGCTCAAGTCTGTAGCAGGACTTCATATTAAATTTGATAAACTATTGGATTTAATGGCTGCAAATACTGCGAGCAGCAATCGTGAACCACTCATAGAAAGTGCTGATGACACACTAAATGATTTAGGATTGTTTCCCATTGATGATACTGTCAAATTAAACGAAGTGGAACAGAGACTTCAAGATAAAGACTTTCAGATGTTATTAGTAAGTCAATATATTTACAAATTTATGAAGTTGATAATCTTTTTCATAGATTAAGAAATTGTCTGACATTGGTGGTACTGATGGTAAAAAAAATTTCAATAAAATAGTGTATATGGTACTAGATGCCATATTTGAAAGAAAATTCTTAATGGAAATCTCGTGGACCGGTTCCACAAAAACCAAAGGTAAAAAAAAGATTTCGATGTTGCAATATAAGGAAACATTACAAATGTTTTTTAAAGTCATAAAAATGGCCGATTCAAGGTATTTATTCTTATGTGCATTTTTTTTATTTAAAATCTAATTTCCAGGTACACCATGGAAGAAAATGAAAGTTTTTTTAAAAGAGTGCTAAAGAACAGTGCCACTAGAGCAAATAACAATAAAAACGTACATCCTACCAAACCTATGGATAATATAGAAATAGATGTAAACGCTATAGTCAATGATGACACGATTTTAAATGCGCCCATTATCATATACAACAATGATCTTGGTATTTAGACAACTATAACATAATTAGCAATAAGTTTAAAGTAACAAATTTTTGTTTATTCATGTTTTTTTATATAAGTGAGTGAATTAGTGGAATAAAAACCTTTGTATCATGACACTGAATTGCCACTAATTTACATTCTATGTCTGCTAATGGAAACAGTACTGCAGGTTCTTCTTCACATGTCGACATAAAAATGTTCAATCGACTTGACTTAATAGGGGTTTCAAAAAAATCCTCAGTTTTCCTTAAAGGGCTACCATACAAACACCAGTTATTGTCTACTTTAGTAGCACATTTCATTTTGACAATTTGATTTTTTGTTAAAAACCACCTATTTTTCTCTTCATAATTAAACATTAAACTGTCATTTACTTCTATATGTGCAAAAAATTCATTACAATGTGGTAGACGATGTTTCAATTCGTCCAGATTTGATTTAATTTGTTTCTTAACAATTGGAAATGGATTAGGAGTTTTATGTTTATCACAATTTTGGGAAATTTCTATTTCTTGAATTCGTTTAGCTGCTTGAGCCAGTGGGTTGTTTCCGGTTCGTAGCAAACGCTTAATTTTATAAAGCTTGTTTTCATATTGATATGCGCTAAAGGTTTCTAGTTCACCAAATCTTTCCACATCGTCTACTAGGTGACATAAACTGTGCACGTTACTAGTAATCGAATCAAGTCCATATATATCTATGTATTTGTCTATATATTTTTCTAATAATGATTCAGCTACTTTGAGATATTTTGAATATCTACTACTTGAACAAATTGTTATTGCAACAAAAAGCATTAAGAAGTGTTGATAAACATCTACTGGCAAAAAATCTTTTAAAATAACGGGTGCAATATATAATAAAAAAGTTCTAAATTCTACCCCTTTCCAAAATGCAAGAGTATCGAGGCCTCTCACTGCTCTGTGAATTTCCTTGGGCATTTTACAGCGATGAAGAAAATTTGTAATTAAATCAGTATCATGCACAGACCATTTTGAATGTTTTTTAAATTTCCCCTCTCTCCATCCAATCAGACACCTTTTCATAATACCCAAATGAAGTAGGTGCAACGAATCTCCAACAGGAAAGTCTTTTATCATGTCAATTGGTAAATCTTCTAGAGGTGTACTATCTTCTTTATGGTGGTCAGGATCAGTTCTTTCCCGAAAGCTGTTATTGGTTCTTCTAGGCAAGTCGGTTCTAGGAAAACTCATCCGATGGGATTCGTGACTATATTCCCCAACTACAGTACATCTTGTACAACCACTGTATGCGTTGAAATTAACAACACCTACTCGGAATATTAAAATTACTTTATATAAGTGTAATTATTGTACCCACCTTTCACAAACGCTCTAGCTGGTGTGTCACAAATAAAACATCTAATGCTGATAGTCCAATGCTGTTTGCTCACAGAAATGCCATTTTTTAAAAGATGTTTTAGTTCATCAACAAAAGGTGTCATAAACTCCTTGACACTTGGTGGTTTTGTTGTACCACAGTATATGCCTACAACCATGGGTTGCAAATTTGATATTGAACATAAAATAGGCCAAAACTCCATTTTTGAGCTATTATAAATGGGTAAGCCATCCACATTAAAGCTTAGTTCCAAATTACTTAAATAATTATCACTAGTTCGTAAATAATGTAGAAGACAATTTTCTAATCCATTGTGCCAATAATTACCACTTCCCATTTTTTTAATTGTTACATCTCTAGGTGTTCTCAACAAAGTTCGAGAAGATTTTGGTAAATTAGGTAGCTTCAAGATGCCTAATAATGCTGTTACAGCACTGTGTGATATATTAAATGAAATAGCCCAATTTCTTAACTTTTCGTTTAATGTTTCATTGGAGATATTACTACCATCATATTCATCAGTATCACTGTCTTCACTAAATAGATAATGCTCTTCAATTTCTTCATCGTTATCTAAATTATTCTGTAACAGGTTTGGTAGATCCTTGACTAACTGTTGAGACGACAAAGCCTAGAACAAATATGCACAATTATACTATCTACAATTAGTAGATATCAATTAAAATATTAACATAATCATTGTCCAAAGTCTTGACAAGGTAGTATAAAAACAGACTTACCTCACTAATGAAATGGCTTTTATCTAAATTGTCCATAGTTTCAGTCGCTTTTTTGGTTGTCGAAGTGTACTCAGCCGTATCATCTACAGTAGTTATTTCATACTTTTTCGTTTTATAAGTAGCTAATTTTGATTTCACTGATTTTTGGATCTGTCTATGGTATGTACCACTCATCTTGAACTTTTTTAACTTTTTTATATCGGAGGTTGATAATTTCAATTTGTTCATTATTAAAGATTTAAAGGTTAGGTGTTGGAAAATGTTTTGCAGCCAAAACTGCTGTATTAGTACATGTGAAAAGTAAAATGGATTTCAATGCCATTTAACTGCATAATAGTATTTAAGGTGGCTGTGATTTCTAGGACACAGCAAAATATAGCTTCATAACCAAATAGCTTTTAAGTGGTTATGACTGTTTATGAGCTACAAATAGCTATATAGTGTCTCTAAGCCAAATTGTCTGTTTATGTGGTTGTAAACACCTTCTCACAACGAAAAAATGATTCCACATTTCAGCTATTTATTGGCTGCTATCTAAACGTTTTCATAACCAAGTTTTAGTTTAACCAGCTAAAGAGGGCATGCCCGTGCTACTTTACGGCGAAAACCGAGTGCCGCAATTCAGCATGCCAGAATACAGCGAAACAAATGTCATCAAAACGTTTTCACAACTACATTTTAGTTTAAAAAGCCATCAAGTACGCCTTGTGTTACTTG